GTTGTATTTCTTTTTGTTGTCAGATTAATAATAAAACAAATGTTAAATCGAATTGGTAGCCTTGTATTCATGCCCTGTGTAACTGTTGTGTATTACAAGTTTGTGAACTGTTAGGAGGTATGAAATTGAGTTTATTTGATACAGCAAAATTTTACAAAGCGAAATTGTGTCAGCGAGGTTGAGGAATATGGCACACAATGCGATAGTATAAACAGCGCCAGAACAATGCCCTAGAGATGCACACTTGCATTAAAAACTTTAAATTTCATCACAAAAGAATTCTTCCAGCAAATTTTTGTTGAGAGGAGAAATTCTGAAGAATTCTGTTGTGGATGATTTCAGTCTTTCTGTGTGTGTGTCTTTATGTTTTTGTTATGGTTGGTGATGTATGTTCCCATTCTTCAGTTTTATTAACTCAGCAGTAATGTGACATATTCTACCAGAAGTTTGACAAATATTGGAAATTAGAAGCATTTCCACTGGAAGTGGGTGGTGGCAGATTCATCAGAGAGGTATGTTGTGGTGTTGCACGCTGGATGTTGGCACACGTCTTTTGCAGTGCATGCCCCTGTCTCTCTTTCTCTGTTGGGTGCCATTGAAGTCTGTCGTAGTATAAAAGTTTGTTTCGCCTCATTCAAGTGGAAGTTTTCCTTTACTGGTCATCTCCTGATGGATGAGTGCATTGACTTAGAGTAGTCTGCATCTTTTTATGTTTGTAGCTGTGAAGAGAAGCAAGTTCAAGTGATGGTTGAAATAATTATGGTGTAGCTTAGATAATGATGTGGCATGAAATGTTGTGATGTGCTTGTGTTGTTAAATGAGGCAGAGCAAAGCAGATTTATGGGGAAAATGTGTGAATCATAGTTGATTTTAGTTACTAAAGTTATATTTACTCCTTAAGTAATTTGAGTGTATCTTAGTATGTTGTTAAAGAGTGGAACTGAAAAACTGAAGCTTCCATAAGGCATTACTTATGCTCAATATTTTACAAAATTGTTCAGAATTTTCTCATTTTACTAAAGATATGAAAGTAGATTCTAAAGGGTTCTGATGATGGTATATAACATGTGAGATTAGTAGATTTTTGGACTTTGCTCCTTGTCCAAGATTTGGAAGCTGGGTCTGTTTCCATCCTCAGGTGAGAGGGTGAGAGACACCTACTCTCTTGGGTATGTTATAAACAGCTGATGACAGTCATGTGACCAGTGACTAAACTTGGCTCTTTCTAACAGACCTGACAATAGGTGTCTCTCTCCCTCTCATCTGAGGATGGAAATGGTTCCATTTTCCAATACACTGTTATTTAGTGTTCTTTAGAATATCGGACAATGGATGAAGTCCACGATCTGGTAAACCCAAATATATACCTTTTAAACACTGGCTTCTGTCAGATTGTTATTTATTTCTCATGGTAGGCTACAAAGAACTGGCAGATGGCTTGCCATGACATTCTGTATTAAAAGAAGAAAGTAGATTTTCTGGTAGTTACTATAGGATTCTGACAGTGGTGTATAACACACAGAGATATTGGGGTTTCGGACTTTATCCATCGTCCTGGTTTTAAGATAACTAAGAAAAAACACAACGTTTTGGAAACTGGATCTGTTTCCGTCCTCAGGTGAGGGAAAACACCTACTCTGTTGGGTCCCTTAGAAAGAGCTAGCCTCAGTCACTGGACTTAAGGGACCGAACAGAGTAGGTGTTTTCACTCACCTGAGGACAGAAACAGATCCAGTTTCTGAAACATGTTTTTTCTTAGTTATCTTAAAACCAGGATGATGGATAAAATCCGAAAACCCAATATCTCTGTAGATTTTCTGGTGTTTAAGTACAAATGAGAAATTATGTTCTGTGTGAGAAGGAATGTACCCATGTTTATAAGCGCTGAAAAAGTAAAAATGCATTCTTTTATGGGATTACTTAGAACAATTGTGTGACTGGTTATGGGTCAGATGGCCAGGTTTCAATCGCTGGCAGATGTTGGCATTTTTTCTTCACCACTTTGTTGTGACAGTTCTGGGTCCCACACAGCTACAGCTTCTTGTATTGTGAATACTGGAGTATCAAATGACCTCATTTTTATCTAGTGCTGAGATTGAGAATATGTGGAGCCTTATCCCTACTCCGTACATTTGCGTGGTGTTGTGCTCATGCACAGGGTTGGGTCTTTTGCATAGAATAAGTTTTGTAGTTTCTCAGAAAATTTTTCATTTTCTTCAGCATTTAATAAGATAACACTTTCAGCTAAATCTTCAGATTAGTAATTTGGTTAGCTGAATTGATCTGAAAGTATGATTCTAGGCTTCTGTGTTTCAATTGAAGTTCATTATTGCCAAGCACTTGTAATACTGTGTCCCAGCTGCAGTTGAAAAAACAAAGGCTTCATTTTGTGCTATTTGCAAATAATGCCTGATGGTATTTTTGATGGAGTTTATGAACCCAAATCTTGATCACAAATGCAGTAATGCAGGCATCCTATGCCATGGAGCCTCTTTGATAACCTGAAGTCATTATTGAAATTGAATATATTCTGAGAACGGTTTGTGATGCCTAATTTCCTTCAGGTACTTAAATCTATGTGATAAGACTAGCAAGAGGTATAAATTAACAATTGTGCAAGCTGGTGATGCATTTTAGGCAAAATTTCCATTATATCAGATCCCCTGTTAACTTATTGGTGTAACCTGGAAGTTTCACCATTTGGAGATCACCATAAGACAGAAGAACATAGATTTTGCCCATCTGCTGAGTAGTAGTTTTGTATTCCAAAAAAAACAAAATGCCTGTAGCAAGAGTAGCATATTTTTAGCTCTGTCTGTGTGTGTGCGAGAGATTGCTTGTCTGTCCTGTTTCAGTTTTTGAAGCAGTTAACAGTTTTCACAGAACGTGATATAAATGTTATACTTGTATGTCTTGAAAGCTCGAACATGCTATATACGTTTTAATTTTCTACAGTCAGAAATAACAACATGGCAGACATGCAGACTTCTAAGTTGGGAACAGTGCTGAATTTGGTATCCTGAAGTCATTTATGGCGACATGTATTAAAAAACGCAGTTTTTGTTTAGTTGGGTGAGGGGGGGTTAGAATATGAAATAACATGGCAGCCATGCAGAAATGCCCTTTAGCTTTTAGGTGATCACTAATGAACCATTGGAGGTAGGCACATGAAATTTTATGTGGAGATATCATAAACATACATGCATATTATGTATGATTTAAGATATAAAAGTTTTAAGCATGGTGTTGGTGTAAGGCTTCGGGCTTATATGGAACAAATTTAATATTATAACAGTCTGTACTTAGTAAGTTTTTCACAAAAAAAAATACCAAATTATATTAGTAACAGATCTATAGGACTGGCAATTGATACAGTGGTGAAGTAGAGTTTATGAGTTATGCTGAGAATATTACTGCCACACAGAGTTGCAGGACCCTGCACTAAGCTCTTCTATTGTCATCTTTTTAAGAACAGGTTGTGCTACAAAGAAAAACTTCACAATTTTTGTTGAAAGTGCAAACATTAAAGGCAGAATTTTAGCCTGCCGCAAATTTAGTGGTAAAGTTTGGAAATGTTTCTTTTGCTCGCAGCAGACATATACAACACATCACTTAAAACAATTCTGTTTCACGACACTTGGTATACACACAGGCATGGTTTTCTTATTAATTTAAAAGTAATAAATTTTTATTTCAAATTTGGTGTAAATTTTCTTCACAAAACTTCATTGATACATAATTCTAGTATTTCCAGTATTAATGCATTGGATTCTGTATATTTGACTGTCAATATAGTATTTCTAGGAACCTTGCTTTGACCAGTTTGCTTCTGTGATATAACTTTAAATTTCTGTGTGTATTGCTTTAAGTAAGTCTGGTAACATTGCTATAAATGCAAATAGGCAAAGCTTTGAAAACAAAGTGATGTTTTGTGCATAAGTGATTTCATTGAGTGGAAGTATAAATTGTATGGAATCATCAGATGACCATGACTATATTCTTCTTAGCCCATAAGGATCATAAAATATCTTGTATAGACAGAAGGATGTTAACAGTGCACACTGTAATAATTAGAAGTGATGTCATATAGAGGAGATGGCACTTATAGACATTAAAATGGTCAGTAGTTTGACTGGTGGTACTGTGTGCAGAAACTGCATTCAGTGTTTGGCAACTTGGCACTAAAATGGTTAAATGGTGCAGGTATTTCTATGATCACTGAAGTTTGTGTAGCTGCCATGTTGGTATTATTCTTGATAGAAGAGTGAGATATTTGAATTGAATTTATTTACATTCTATAAATCCTAAGCAGGTTAGTACCTTTGGATACAGGACAAGTCAAAATGTTACATACATAAGTACAGGCAATTTTAGCTTAAAAATTAATATAACTTAATTTTACATCATTCTCTATTTACATTGAAGTATTCATCTAAAGAGTAGAAGGAATGAGCATGTAGATAATTCTTTAACTCTGATTTAAACTTTTTAGTATCATTGCCCAAGTTTTTAATACTTTGTGGCAGATTGTTGAACACTTTTATGCCAGTAAAGTAGACTCCTTTTTGATATACTGATAAAGTTGATGAGGGTAGGTGGAAGTTATATTTTTGTCTAGTATTCATGTTATAGACATCAGAATTTAATTTGAATTCATCTTTGTTGTAAACAACAAATAGGAGAAGCGATAATATGTATTGCGATGATATGAATGTTGAATGTCCTCTGGTAGGTTGTTCGTGACAAGTTTTAGGAAAATCTGCATGTTTAAGAGTTATTTGTATGGCAAAACACATTAGACATCATGAAACCATTATTGATGTAGGTATTATCAGCCATAAAGATTTAAGTGAGAGGATGTGTACATAATAGATTATATCTTCTGCTTTCAAGTACTTTCATACCCATACTTCTGTTAAACTCTGATGTAGATTTGTGTCAGTAGAATGCTAACTGTTATCATGCTATGTCGATATATTTCTTGTCTTCTTCTGTTGCAGTTAAATGCCGTGTGGAGGGAAGTGCAAGCTGTACAGACCATGTGAACCCTGCCAGTCAAGTTGCGTTCCTGCTCCATCTATTGCTTTGTCATATTTTAAGTTTCTCTTATTTTTATTTCAAGTCTGCAAGAATACCTTTGTGTATTTGGAATGATTTTTACAGCCAGCTGGAAGTTCCAAAACTTATACATGTGTAGAACAAAATGTGAAGCAACAAAGTCTAGATGCACACGTCATACTGCCCCCACTGTACCAGTATGAAAACAGATTTCTTGTATTATTTTCATATCTCCTTTACTAAACCAAACACTTCCTTATGTGTAAGGTGTTTTGTTAAGAGTGTGAACGGAACTTGAAAGTGGTAACCTTACTTTCCTTGTATAGGTGTAACATTATTCATAGTTTCCTTTTGTTGCCATGGGCAACTACTGCCATGAAGGAAATTTAACAGGACTTCACATGTTTTTGTGGGGGAACTTTATAATTTGGCTCTCCCCCTCCAATAAAATAGTCCTGTTTGAAGAATACAACACAATATAAAGTAGTTTGCATTTTAAAAAAATTATTCTGTTCAGAGTTTTTTAATCATTTGTACATTTGTTCATTTTATATCTGGGTTTATAATTTCCATTGTGCGAGCGAGAGCTTTATGTCATCGTAAGATTGTTTTGTAGTTTGTTCAGTGATGGTGAGATTTTGAGAATGCAGGCTTGGCTGGATATTGCATTCTACATTCGATAACATGTTTGTATGGCCTGAATGCTATTTTGTTGCTTTCTTTGTAAATGTTTCAGAACGTGGTTTGTCCATTCTTTCTAGGATCATGTCAATGATACTGCGAAGTTCTGTATTTTTAAGCAAGTTAAAATGAAAAATGAATTTATCAGTTGTTTATTATAAATAGTAGTGCTAGTCATGTTAAACAGCATTAGTTTAGTGTGAAAAATGCAAAATTCAGGTGAAATATAGAATTATACTAATTATCATAAAAATACAGAAAAACGCCGATGAAAGCTTGATAAAATTATACCTGTTGTCCACTGTGAAACAATACTTAATATAGTGAAGGAATTCTTAATTTTGCATTCTCACCTTTCAGGTTTTTATCTAAGAATTCCTCATTTATTGCCCATGTTTCTTTCACAGTATCATAATTTTCATTGCTTGTGCCTGCTTCAGCCTTTCTTGAAACTGCCCAACAACTTCACCTCACAAGTGGTCTAGAGATTGTTGTGGATAAGACTCTAGTGGGAATTGTATCTTGTGCTTTCAGTAATAAAAACAAACACATAAACTTGGCTTTATTATGACTGAAAAGAATAACTAGAATTCATGTCCCTAACCTTGTACATCCTGCTGTATTGTCTCATATTTTCTTATGGTTACCCAGAAATTTCTGTTGTTTTCCCCTGCCACCTCTGTTGAGTATGTAAATTATTCTGATAATAGGCCACACCATCTTTTTTTTTACTATCTTGCCAGTTCTCTGCCATGTTTTCAAGTTCTGGTTTCTTAAGCTGGGTGGCTAAACTGAATAGAAAGATATATTGGTGCTATAAGAGAGCCTCAATAGTGAGTGACTATGGGCTGGGCAATCAAGGGGTTGGAGTTTGAGTCCCACTAGGGGCAAGAACTTTCACTTCTCTGTATTGTCCAGACTGGCTCTGAGGCCCACCCAGTCTCCTATTCAGTGGGTAATGGGAGTAAAGTGGCCAGGGCGTGAAGCTGACCACCTCCAACTAGTGCCACAGCCAAGAAAATGTTTGTATAGACATCCACTCCCCCTTACATCTTCAAGGCATAGTGCTTAATTAGTTAAGCACAGGGAGAACTGTACCTTTACCTTTTTAACATAGCAGGAGTGAGTACTGAGCATTCAATGTGCATGGAATTCTCCACCTTCTATAAAACCCACCACTGATTCTATTGTTATCCCTTCACACCCTCTTTCTGTAAAATCCAATTTGAATAATATCCTCCCATCTAAATAAATGTCTCCCATATGGTGTCTTGATTTCTAATGAACTAAGTGGAGCAGATTTATTGAGAAGCTGATAGTATCTTAGCTGGTCATAGAATTCTCTGCCTTCTACTCAGTTTGGTATTTAATGGTGTGCTTACAAGAACCTGCCACCAGGCTATGGCAAGATCCTTTTGAGAAGTTCTGTAGTGTGGCACTCAGAGTGGCATAACATGGAATTTCTTCGTGTAAAAGGTTTGCTGTCCTATCTTTTGATGTTGGGGTAGAAGTAATGTGGTAAGGTTGAATCTGTGGTGGTCAGTTTTAGAGTGCCATGTAGAAATATGTGGGCCACCATTAATGCAGATTTACAGTCCAGTGTTTGAATGCCTTGTATGATTTCTGTACTGTGACTTCTGGTACATACTAGGCAAGACACTTGCAGTGATGTAAGTGAATCGTTGGTAAGTTTTATAAGAGGAAGCCAGTACGCATAAGGAGCAGCCTCTAGAATTGGCTCTGTCATGACATGTCATGCAAACAACATGAGTTAACCTAATTCATATGAAATTCGCAAAAATTGCTTTCTTCCATCCCTGCATAAATACTTGGTTAGTAATTTTCTGAAATTATCAATGAAACAATCCACTTCATTCTATGAGTGGCAAGAACACAAAGCAACGCATGGTAGGAATAGCAGTGGCAGGTAAATTAGATATTTTCAACTTTTTTTATCGAGGGATATCAATGGTGAATGTGCATGAACTTCGTTTCACTCTGTGTATTTATCCTGTGATGGTGTGGGTAATTATAACAAAGACCTTTCTCTTGGAACAATCAAAACGAAAATTAGGCCTATGTAATTATCTATATAATGAAGTACATCATAATTAATACCTGCTCTTTGCCAGAAATTAGGATGATCAATTCAAGAAGGATGAGACTATATTGATCATGGGAGATGCAAGAAATATATATACCATCATAGCTATAAAACGTGAAGGGAAGAACTCACTTGGGAGATGTAGATGTATATTTTTTTTCCCTTGGCAGTATAGCCCCAGTGGGCCTAGGCCTACCTCCATGAATTCCGTTCACTTCGGTTTTTCTAGATCTTACACATACGGTAGGACAGCTTGGGCGAGTGATCAGCTCGTCGCAAGGCCTCTACCTGTACACAAACACAGAAAAACGCACACAAACATCCATGCCCTGAGTGGGATTCGAACCTACGATCCCGGCTTCCGAGCGAGCGAAGACAGTGCATGCCTTGTAGATGTATATAGAAAGGTAAAATTAAAGCAGATCTTAAAAAATATATTGGTTTCAACTGTTCAAAGATACTTGTAGAGCCTGATGGGGAGATCTTATGGTGAACATGGTTGAGTGACTATCAGCTTCTCAAGAAGGATTCGGCTCCGTTGAGTTAATTTTCAATGTAGTTTGTTTTTATCCTGAATTTCTGTTAATGTTCTGACTTCTTTTCAACAGGCCCACCTAATAAGATCTGACCTTTTACTGGAGTGCAGACAAACTTAGGTTCCAGTCATTCAATGTAGTGCTGATATATTTTCGAGTAGGTATAGCTCAATAGAGTTGGATTTGCCTCACATTTGGGACGTACCTGGAATTAAGATGGTACCCTCCTCTCTCTATGGGTTAATGCCGCACTTGTGGTTTTTGGTAAGGTCCGTCCACCTCGCTGAACGTCAGTGTAGGCTCCAGGATTTCAATACAGACTCGACGCGTAGCTATTCTGAGAATTTTCGTGGCATTCCTCAGCCCTACTTGGATATTGCTGGTACAGTTGTAGGCTTGCTTCAGAAGAATCCACGACAGGTGACTTCGTATGCTTCCCAACTAATGAAACATCTTATGTGACGCATGCATGCTTGTGCTGGGTAAGGCGTAAAGCAGGCCAACCACACCCGTTTTTTGTTGTGCAACCAAATTTCGCAAATTTTATTCTGTATGAGGGCAATATGAATTTCAGTACATAAAATGTGGGAGGTATAAGTACACGCATAATTTACTCGTATGTATGATTTTTATCTGCGTATTTTTCTGCACATTATGTACAACAAAACGTATTGATAGCATGAAGAATTAATTAAAAATACAACTCAAGACATTCGCCAGAGTGTCTTTATTTTTAGCACAATTTTACGAGATGAACTAGTAATATATGTATGTCTCCTTAAATAAAAATTTCAGAATGTTTTAAAAATAATGCGAATATTTTCATAAGGTACGTAAAACCTAAAGGAAAGCAGACAGATGTAAGGCGACTTATATATTAGTTTTGTTTTCACTAACAAAAATTAGAATATACAAAACTATAATTTTGCCTGTGGTTCTGTATGGGTGTGAAACTTGGTCTCTGACATTAAGGGAGGAACATAGACTAAGGGTGTTTGAGAACAGGGTGTTGAGAATATTTGGACCGCAGAGAGATGAAATGACAGGAGGTTGGAGAAAACTGCATAATGAGGAGCTTCATAACTTGTACTCTTCTCCAAGTTTAATTAGAATGATGAAATCAAGGAGGATGAGGTGGGCAGGGCATGTGGCATGAATTGGGGAGGCGAGGAATGCGTACAGGATATTGGTGCGAAATCCAGTAGGAAAGAGACCACTGGGAAGACCAAGGCGTAGGTGGGTGTACAATATTAAAATGGATCTTAGAGAGATAGGATGGGATGGTATTGATTGGATTGATCTGGCTCAGGATAGGGACCAGTGGAGGGCTCTTGTGAACACGGCAATAAACCTTCGGGTTCCATAAAATGCTGGGAAATTCTTGAGTAGCTGCAGAATTGGTGGCTCCTCCAGAAGGGCTCAGCTCCATGAGTGAGTGAGTGAGTGAGTAAGTAAGTAAGTAAGTAAGGCCTGAACTATTCTTTTTTTTTTTTTCACTGGCTGTACAGCCCCTTGGGCCCTGGACTCTGATTTTTCAGTTTCATGATTATTTTACAGACGGTAGGACTCCTTTGACGAGTGATTAATTCGTCACAAGGCCTCTACCTAGACACCGGACAACACAAATACAGAATAAACACATACCAAACATACATGCCTTGTGTGGGATTCGAACCCACGATCTCGGCTTCCGAGCGATCGAAGACAGTACATGCTTCAGACCGCTCGGCTACCGTGACCGGCCTGAACTAATCACCTTAACAAACTTACTTCTTCTGCTTTCCCAACAATTGTTACCACACAACAACTTAGGTGCCTGCCTTGAGTGGTGTTAATATGATTAGTAACTGATTTTTCTTTGTAAGGGAGATACGATGTGATTAATTGGAGGCGGGAACAGACTTTTCAATATCATGGAACTAAGGACGATCTGCGCCGGTCACGGTAGCCGAGCGGTCTAAGGCATGTACTGTCTTCGCTCGCTTGGAAACCGGGATCGTGGGTTCGAATCCCACTCTGGGCATGGATGTTCAGTTTGTTTGTGCGCGTTTTTCTGTGTTTGTGTACAGGTAGAGGCCTTGAGACGAGCTGATCACCCGCCCAAGGTGTCCTACCGAATGTGTAAGATCTAGAAAAACCGAAGTGAACGGAGAAGTAGGCCCCACTGGGGCTGTAGTGCCAAGGGGAAAAAAAAGGACGATCTGCTGCCCTTGAAAGTACTGAAATAAGTGTCTGCGAATGGGTGACATAGAAACCTGTGTATTTCATGGCTGTAAAAGTCGAGAAACTAAATAAATTAATTTAAACTTCTCCTTGTTTGACCAAACACTCACGATACTGACAGAAGTTTTGAGAACATAATTATAAAATATAGTTATATGTTTACTCTGGAGTATGAAAAGCGTTGAACGAGTAAGTATGTGACGAGTTTTGCTTTAGAATGAACGTTTGTATGTACGCAAAGAGCCCTACCGACGTAGAGCATGAGCCTCTAACTCCTGAAGGGACGATTCCATGTGTGTGCAATTTTCCCGTCGCTCTGTTTACTTTAGCCCATATCGTCGATTACTCTTCACTTTCCTATATTCCCGGGCGCCGCGGCGCAGACGCGGATCGTGGTTTACGGACAAGCGTCGTGCTCACAGGGGCACCACAGTCATTGTTGGGAGCTCATCATGACGCCACATGTGTCAGACTTCCATGTAGTGGTACCAGTTGTTTACATTAAGGCGATCAAAACTCTGGTTGGAAAGTCAGTACGTACTGACTAGTGCGTGTATATGTATGTTTGTAGCAGCAGTGTAAACATCACAGAGTGCATAAACTGTAACTTAACGTTATGCAGACAATGAACACAGAAGCCATGTCAGAAAATAAAACAGAACTTACTTGCTGGAGTTATGTATCGTTCTAGGATGAACTCCTACTTAGATGTCGGCATGGTCTGAGGAACATGGGATGTGAATTGGGCAAGTTGGTCATGGTACACCGGGATGGCGGTGATGGTAGCAAAGGTCGCCATGGGGAAGCAGAGCTACCTGTGCCAGAGCCCCCAGACCCTCGTCTGCCCCTCACGGCCAAGCAGAAATACAGTATGATGGCTTCGTGGAAAGGAATCAGCCGAGCAATGGAGCCAACTGGTGTGTACATGTTTATAAAGTGAGTACTCCACTTAATTACACAATCAGTGAACCAACAGCACACAGAGTTCATAGCTTGCGAGCGAGTCACGCACACACACATGCATGTCAGCCAACAGTGGAGCAGTCTGGTTACGCCTGCGTGTTATGTTTTGTATCCACCTCACACATTAATTACAGATCAACTAACATCCTAGCAAAAAGAGCATAAAAGTTCTTACTCTTGATCTCTTAAGGTGGGACGCCCAAATAGACACTGCTCTTATTTACCCGTGTAATGTCTCTCTCCTTGGCTCAACAGCGCTTTGGACTTCGGCCGCTTTTTATTTTTCAGTTTCTTAATCTATACACAGCAGGTAGGCATCTTTGAGAAGAGAATCAGCCCGTCACAAGGCCTCTACCTACACACAGAACAACACAAACACAGAATAAATGCACACAGACATCTGTGCCTCGAGTGGTATTCGAGCTTAAGATCCTAGTGTTCGAGCGGGCTAAGACGGCAACTGTGATCAGCTAGTCGTACTTACAGAGCACCAATAATCTGCTAGAAAAATAAATTGCATATTATCTCCCCTTCTAGTATGGCTGTTAAAAAACTGAAGGAAAAGGGGAGAGAGATTTTTTCTCGGCACTACAGCCCCAGTGGGCCTAGGCCTATCTGCATGAACTTCTCTGTTCACTTCGGTTTTTCTAGATCTTACACATTCGGTAGGACTCCTTGGGCGGGTGATCAGCTCGTCGCAAGGCCTCTACCTGTACACAAACAAAGAAAAACGCACACACACAAACTAAACATCCTTACCCTGAGTGGGATTCGAACCCACGATCCCGGTTTCCGAGCGAGAGAAGACAGTACATGACTTAGACCGCTCGGCTACAGTGACCGGCGGAGACAGATATTTAATAGATGAATACTGTATTTTGCTAATTCAATTCCTGCCTCCGACAAAAAGGCCTCATAACTGTCACATAGATAACACGTGTAATGTTTAGCAAGATAATACTAGCGTTTCCTTATTCAGAAAATCAAATGAAGCAGGTAAATATACTCTTCTGGAAGTATTGAACATTAAAGCAGGCAAGGAAGAGGAGTACTACAGCCTTGGGTCTGTAATAAATGAAAGTGTACGTACCTTCTTTACTGTTACATTTCTTTAATCATTTTCTCAAAAATAGTAAATTGTAAGTAACGTAAACGCAGGCCTATTGCATTAACTTCTGCAGCATTTGCAATACTTTCTTTTTGGTGTGAAATTTGTGAGACTAAGATGTTCCGTGACTTATATACGAAGCAAGTCGAAATTATGGGTTAAGAACTGTACAATTTAGTTATGAACGTTGAAACATTCTTTCCGTTCAATCGCATTCAAATTATATCAAATTTGTCAGATAGGCCTGTATAAAACTTCGCACTGTCACCATATTTGGAGGTTTTAACTTGTGAAAAATTCATGTAAAATTTGTGGGTATGTTTATAACCTATGGTACACAATTTCAGATTCTTAGTGAGTCATTAGTCGTCGCTATCGAACAAAAAGTTTTGTCACGCTGTCCTCATTTTACCTTAAATTCTACAAACCTATGGCATCAACGAATTGCATACTTATCGGAGAAATATTATAGTACTAAGTTTCAGGATAGCTTCGACTTAAGAATTTCGCCGCCATGTTGGTATTATCGGTGGCATGAAATTAAAATATGTGAAGAGGGGATGGATCTTAGTTTTGTGATATTCATACCAAATTTCGTGACAATTCATCCAATAGTTCAAACGTAACTGGGACAAACGGACCAACACATGGTCATGACACGATAAGCAAATTAAAACTAATGAAACAATATGCATATGCCGGAAGCTTTGCGTAAAAACTGTTTGATCGTAGGTAACGATGATACAGGGCATGAAATGTATAACATCACCATAATCATCATCATCATCATCATTGAAAAAACGACCCCCTTTTGAGCCATAGCCTTCCTTAGAAGATTCTGTCAGGTGTTTCTATTTCTGGGTTTTCACTTCTTTGGATTTCACATTCTTTTTTACCGACCAAGACTCTCAGCCCTGCGTCTAACCCCTAACCTGGAGGATTAAGTCCCTGCATTTATGGTTTCCAGGCTCAGTTATATCCCTGGACATCGCGTTCCCTTTTCGTCACCTTCTGCGACTGTCAAGGTTACGGTGGAAGATTTCCGACCCGCCTCCACGCAGGAAGCATGAAATAATGTACCTTGTTAGAATCTATCATTTTTCAAACGTTCTTCCATAGGCCGATGTCGAATATTTAATTAAATGAAGGAAAATAAAACTAGTCTCCATGAATTGTAATATCTGCAGGTTATTCTCCGTTAGATTTGTCAACATTGAAATGCATGCCTGTCTGTAGTTTTTGGCTCGTTTGCAACGAAGAATTGAGTTTTGCGATCATTAGTTTCGCCATATTTCTCAATTGTCTTTTTGTCTATGAGTTGTCATTTAACAAAACGAAAACAGCCAAGCTGATTTTTATAAAATTTGGTAATTTAACCGAAATTTCCAATTTCGGTTAAAATCGGACAAAAATGATAAACACGTTACACAAAGACCTACATGCTTATTTGAACTCACATAGAGTGTAACCACTTAAATAATTATCGCTGTGTAAAATACGTAGGTATTATTTTTTATTGCTAGTGGGGTGAGACTAAGTCCCTTGTACTGCGGCCACTTCTGGCCTATTGTACCAGCCCCAGATGATAGGTGAGGGTTATTGTGGAGCAATTGGTGGAATGAAGATTGGCAGGGGAAGCCGAAATACTCGGAGAAAACCTGCCCCAGCGCCACTTTGTCCACCACAAATCCCACTTGACCAGACCCGGGATCGAACCCGGGCCGCCGCGATGGGAAGCCAGCGACTAACCTCTTGAGCTATGACGCGGCCAAATACTATGTCCAAGAACGTTGGTAGAGGAAGTTGAAATGCGATGGATAAGTACAGTGCATTTTTTATTTGGTTACGCGGTTTTGAAAACGATTAAACAAAAATAAAGGAACAGTATGTGAACATATAACATTTTATTTATTAATCACCATTGGCCTTCTGAACATACGCGAAGATTACCGAAGCCTCCAATCCTCGATACTTCAGCTTTCAATTCTCTGTCATCATTCCGGCTGACTCACTGAAGATTTCTAACGAACTCTGTGACAATGCTTAAGAAAAGCCACGGCCGATTCCTTCTACGTCGGAATTCGCCATTCTCAACAGCCTTGTCTTTTGACGCTACGCCGAAGAAAATGAGTCGTTGACTTAAATCCTCGCGTTGTCAGTTGTACAGCTCGGCAGTGGCAGAACTTACTGTCAAACATAGACATGTATGCGCCGATCACCTAAAATATTGCTGAAAATGTAGGCCCAGCAGTGGCTTTACACGAAACTGCACTCAGTTTGGACATTAATATGTGATAACATCGATCGCTTTCATTTTGTTAGTTACGCACATAGCTTAAAACAAGATGGACGTGTCTGTGAATTAGTCTGACTTCTGCGGAGACTTCAGCTCTGTGAATTTTACCCACTCGTTTATTTTTGTTTGCGGCTAGCGGATGAAGTGGTAACTGTCAGAGGCTGTACTGTTTACTTCTTGTACACGCTGAAATGAGTTTGGTTCCTCTGTTACATGTAACCAAATAATCTAGTTGAAATAAAAAGCCTCGAAAAATCTATCGAAATTTAGAGTTATGCGAATTTTTATAACTCATTAACCTTGACTTTAATTTATTTGAAAATTGAAAATAGAGATTTGCTGTAAAATTGGCGTAAATAAAAAAAAACAAAAAAGTAAGGGAAATGGCTAAGAAATTAGTAACAATTCAGAAAAATACACTGCCGGTCACGGTAACCCAGCGGTCTAAGGCATGTACTGTCTTCGCTCGCTTTGAAACCGGGATCGGGGGTTCGAATCCCACTCAGGGCATGGATGTTTAGTTTGTGTGTGTGCGTTTTTCTGTGTTTGTGTACAGGTAGAGGCCTTGCGACGAGCTGATGACCCGCCCAATGAGTCCTACCGAATGTGTAAGATCTACGAGTAGGAAAACCGAAGTGAACGGAGAAGTTCATGGAGGTAGGCCTAGGCCCACTGGGGCTCTAGTGCCAAGGGGGGAAAAAAAGAAGAAAAATACATAATGTGATTACATCATTTGCACTACTTGCCTTACAGGGCATACGTTTCGGATGTTTAAATCATCGAGTATGAGATAAGTGGAACATATATTTTGTACGGTAAAGGTGATAACTGCATGCGACATTTTAATTGGAAAATTATGAACAGAAGCCACCACTAGGAAGACATAGAAGTAAAAAGTAAGNAGGCCTAGGCCCACTGGGGCTGTAGTGCCAAGAAAAAAAAAAGGTGATAACTGCATGCGACATTTTAATTGTAAAATTATGAACGGAAGCGACCACTAGGAAGACATAGAAGTAAAACATATNGTATGAGATAAGTGGAACATATATTTTGTACGGTAAAGGTGATAACTGCATGCGACATTTTAATTGGAAAATTATGAACAGAAGCCACCACTAGGAAGACATAGAAGTAAAAAGTAAGTAAAGCTATCCCTGTACCAGGCCCTGAAGACCCATAGGGTTGTGAGACCTTGAGGGTCCCACACTATCTAGACAGTCAGCTCAAAGTTGGCGGTAAGTTTGTCAGCCTTTATGCGCCGGCCGCGCTTTACTCCCCAGGAAAATTATTTAATTAGTTCCTGGTACTCATTTCTGTTAGAGGCTGGGTGAAGCCCAGGGCCATAGTGCGGCTGGAAGGATTAGGTCAAGTGAAAAAAAAACCAATGACCTCATCGGGACTTGAACCCGCGGCCTTCCGGCTTGTAGCATAGCTCCTCAACCAACTACGCTACCGCGTGCCCAAGACATAGAGGTAGATGGGAGAATAATATTAAAGAGGGAGAATGTGAGGATGTCGATTTTGTTCAATGGCCGAAGGCATGATGCAGTGGCTCTTGTTAACATGGCA